CCATTCTTCTCTATCTCCTCCTTTGCTGCCTCCGCACATAACCCGCATATCCACTTCCCCATGAACACCTCACGGACCCCTTCGATGTACTCAGCAGTGCACTCCTCGCTCATGCCACAACACTCGCATTTTGCATTCTCAACCTCTGATATTGGAGGCATTGTGCTATTCTCTAACTCTTCTCGTCTAATCTCAAATAACACGTCGGATTTGCTCCTCTCAATATTCGGAGGTCTTTTGAAACTTCGGCTGATTGCCTCTCCATGTGGCGCCATGTCTTGTATCTCTTATGATCTGATATGGGTTGCAAGATATGTTAGTTAATTCTTGTTCGAGGAAATGATGGTATGAATGGTGAGAATAATGTTATTTATACTAGTTTTTGAATCTGGTTAGTGTACTCACATGATGCTAATTAAACGGTTCATGAAGCTAGGTGGCTTTAGTTAGTAAAGTATTTAATGGAACTTTCAAGAAAGGGTTTGGATAAAGGTATTCAAGTTGAGGGGTTCACGTGAGGGACTATTGTAACCATATGAATCTAAAGCTTTTCATGTATATATATATATATACATGAAAGATGACAACCACAACATGCATAAACCGCAGGTTTCAAATACACAAAAATCGTTATCATATTTATAGAAAAATAATTTTATATATTTATAACCATTGTTATGATTTTTGTCAAATTAATTTGATTTTTATTTATTTGTATATATTATAGAAAATAATTAATTAATCAATTATTTATAAGTCACTTGTTTTTATTTTTTTGAAATTAAAAATCTTGATTAAGAATTACTTAATTAATTGTTTATAGTAATTTAATAATATGATAACTTAAATGTTAACTATTAATATTGCATGTCTTTTTCTCAGAGGCTGGTTGTGGGTACGTACCAACTTCTACTTAACTAGAAAATAAAACATAGTTGTTAGTTGTGATTCAAATTGCAAAATATTATTATTATTATTTTTTTAAAAAAAAAAATTTGAAATTTGCTTGCCAAATGGAAATTTACACAATTAATTGATAATAAAGTGAACCAAAAAGAAATACTATAAAAAATTAAGATATTTAAAAAATTTTATGCTAATATTATAAACAATAAAAAATATTTATTTTTTTATAGTAAATTATAATATAAATATTATATCATAATTAAATACATAAGCTGTTTATCGTGTAATTAGAAATTTCTAAAAAATCTAAGTAAAATATTGTATCATAATCTTGCAAAATAAAATTTCAATTTATAAAATTAGGGTTCACTTATGAAATCCGTAAACCAAACAAATTGAATTGTAATATTTAACTTTTTAACAAAACTTTTATAATGAAAAACTATATATATGAAGCTATTATTTGCGGATTCACATGCAAGAAAATCAAGCATGGAAGTGAGGTAGTTGAAATGTTAAAAAATAAACGGTACTTTGCTTATAATGAGTGATGATGAATAATTGTAATGTTTCATAGACTTGAGCTTGGGAACTCTCACATGAGCATTCATGTGACTTGACAAATACCAGGTTCAAAGATTGTTTTGCCATTTCATTAAAGAAGGCTTAATGAATGAATGAATGATAAGCTTTCTGTGCACTTTTATTTATATCATCAAATCATCTTTGTCATGCAAACTAAAACACAAACTATATATTAATAGTTAGTTAATAATTAATTAATATTAATAAATAAAAATAAAAAATAATTTAAATTCAACCCAACCCAACTAAAATATTTTCTATTTACAATTTTTAATTTTGTTTTTAACTTATAATAATTCCTTAAATTTATTACACATTATTTTATTTTATTATAGGGTAAGTAAATGATACATTGATTATATTTATAAGGCGAGAGACTCAAATAACCCCCGTGGAAACACACATGTAGACTTAAGAAAAAAATATCTAGAAATTGATGAGGAAAGCAATGCACAAGTTTGACATTGCTATAAAACATAGAGTTTTAAATTGTAAAAAATGATTTAATATGGTTATAGTGTACAACAAATCAACAGATCGTATGATAAATTAAATATAATAAAATTTTCATAATATTTGATTCTTTTAATTAATAGAAGAACATCATGATAAAAAATTCATTATTTACTTATCCCCAAAAAAGACCTAAGGAGTTATATTCTTTCCCTTCAAAATGTCACATGCCTTAAACGTGTAACTCGAAACAAAATTAAAACTTAGGAGATTACATAATAATAAAATATTAAAAATTTATAAACTATATCATAACATAAAAGTTTGGGGCATTAAACTCTTATTAATGTTCAGGTTAGCTAAGTTGGTATTCTCGATTTCACTTTGTCCGCCCGCCCTATACGAGTGGTTTTTTTTTTTTTTGCCTCAAAGATGAAACACTCTCTTATTACTAGATATTTACATTCCACAGCTTCCACCAATGGCTTAACCATATTTGTTTTGACACAAAAAGATTTAACCAATGAGCTATTACACACTTTTTCCAAAGGTGACTAACTCTAGGCAAACCTCTTAATTGTCTCTACGCTCCTACCTCATTGTCGGACGGTTATTTAGAGGCCTTAGTTGGTAAATTGAAATATTTTTTTTTGTTTTTTTTATTTTGGTTTTTTATTTATTTTATGTTTTAGGTTCTTAATCTTTTAAAATATAAAATTCATAATTTCTATAAATTTCTTAATTTGATATATTTTTTATTACTTTATTATGTCAATATTAATTAGAGGTTAAAACATGTACGATAAATTATTTATAATTTAGTTTGATGATATAACATAATAATAAATTATTTTGTAGACAAGTATATACTAATATTGTATCATATTTTTATCAATAACTTAACAACAATCCGAGCCAAGCAATAAAATTTGTAAAACAAAAGTAGGATACTATTTTACACAATAATTGCTCCTCAATTGTGGTGTCTCATCATTCATATCTACTGTGACATGCCTTGACAAATTTGATTAACTTTAAAAGAGTTGTTAGTAATATTCACATTTGTAAATTGCATGACATGACTTGATTATCTAATAATCTTATTTAAGTTGTTAAAAATTTAAATATTAATAATAATTTTTTTTTCTTTTGCATTTATCGCTTAATAGTTATGAAATAAATTTTGTTTTTACCAGAGATGACAAGAATGGTAAACCTAAAAAATAGAGCTTCACAAGATAAAAATTTGATTTTAAAACGTAAAAAACTAAAATAATAACATTTTATCGGATTTGAGGACTAAATGAATTATCAAAATGAATTAATAGAGTTGTTGGACCTAGAGGATTGATTTTGGTGATTTTATTAATAATGATTGATGAGCTATATAAAGTTTGAATGAAGTAGGAGATTAAGTTATGGTCTTCTGGTGTTCTAGAGATAAACAATGATTACAAGAAGTTTAATATTGTTAAAGAATTAATAGGTTATGTTATTGGAGATTAAATATTAATTTTATTAGAAACATCCACGAAAGATCTTAAAAATAGTCTTTTACTAAATGTAATGAGTTTGAGTTAATAAGTTCTGTTTTAATTTTTTTGGTCAAGATACGAACTAGATTAAGAATAGATTAAAATTTACGAATTTTTAAATTTTTTTTTAAAAGATTAAACTTCTACTGAATATTATAAAATGAATAAATTTAAGTCAACGAGCTCTATTTTAATATCTTTATTCTAAATTAAGACTAGTCGGAGAATAGACTAAAATTTAAAAACTTCTAAAATTGAAACAAAAAACTAAAATAAATAATATGTCAGTACAATTTAAAATGAATCATTTAGTATAGTCAAATCAAGTCTAGCTTTTATCTTCTCACCAAAAAATGAAAGTTCTTATGTTTAATTTTATCTTTATATTATCAATCGTTCACAGATATAATTTTTTGATTTGGTTAATCATAATTTTTATAGTTATTATAAATTGAGTCGAACTAAAACCTATAATTCATTCAAATGCCGAATTAAAGCTGAACTATATATTTTTGTAGATAGCTAATAATTAACTAAATCAAACTATAAATTGAAAATTATAGGTAAAAAATGTTTTCTTTTAATTTTATTATATTATATAAAAATAATTTATTATACCATTGGGAACAAACGTTGGGCTGGGCCACAAAAATGCTGCTGGAAATTGGGCTGGAGAGCCTTCTTTTTTACTACTCTCAGATTTTTAGTATGAACTGGGAACTAAAAGGACGGAATTAAACTATATTCGGGTCAATTTAATTCGACCCGATTGGTCCGACCCAGAATTTGAACAGCCTATTTCTTCTTTCGAATGAACAACCAACATAAATTTAACGTCTCTCTGACTGTTCTCTCTCTCTCTCTCTCTCTCTCTCTCTCTCTCTCGCTTGCTCACAGGATCAATCAATGGAAGCGCTGTTAATAAATTGCGTGGAGAAAAGCTTGAATCAATTCACACTCAACAACGCCATTTTCTTATGCGAACGTCTCCGTGCTGAATTTCCCTCTGAGGTATTTGTGTGCATTACTGGCGTGTGCATGTATTCCTCTGTCTCTGGCTACAGCTTTTCGCTGTATAATTTGAATGGTTAATAGTTGTTTTTTCTTCTCTCTCTCATGTAGGTTTTCTTCGCTGAATTATTCATTTGAATTCTACAATTAAAACTCATTGTAGGCTTTCATGCAATATTGGATTTTAGTTCCTTTTATTAACAATTCTATGTAGACAGGGATAGAATACGGGTTTTTGTACGTATATTTATTATTGTATATCTATAGTTCCGGTCATATCCATTCATATTGTTATCTGCCTTTTTTAAAAAATTATTTCCAGAATCTGGTGGTGATTTGAGGTTTTCAGATTTGTATGATTGTCCATAGCTAATTGAGATTTAATGACAAGATTATGTAACATTTCCACGCTAACCTGTTAGGGTAGTTACTCTTCATGGTTGGAATCTTTATCAAAGGGATGAAAATGAAATGGCATTTGGCTACAGGCTGATTTATAATTGGTGTAAAATTCAGGGGAGAAAAGAAAATGTAGCTTACTGTTTTGGTTTGATGAGTTATTAAAAACGGAGTATTTAGCGAGCTATCTTTCTTAATATGGTGAGTGGGTCCGGCTGGTTACATCTCTAATAAGCAGTGGACTACTAGTTTATAAATTTTGTTGATATAAATTTGGATAGATATTTTTTTATTACATAGTCAGATCATTTAATGAATAATTCAACTCTATTATTTCCATCAGATTATTTTTGTAATATTAAAAATATACGCTGATAGGTAACAATAGTGATATTCTTTTGTTGGTAGCTTGTATGATTGCAAATATGATCATTGCTTTCTAATTGCAACCTATATCGGTGCTTTATAAAATTTAATAGAGAGACGATTTATTGGTATGTGAAGTCAGATATTAGTTATTTGTCTTGTTTGTTCTGGAATCAGTGGGAACGGGATCATTTTTTTAAAGAGTAAAAGTAGTAACCACCAAATGTGCTCATTTGCTTCAATTGGACGGACATCAAATATCTAGTCCGTTTTATGTCTGTTAGCGGATCTGAGTTCCCTCGAAGAATAGCATAATGTATGAGAATATCCACTGCTCTTAGACTTGGCCTGTGTTGTCCAGTAACAAGTGTTTTAACTGATATTTCCAAACCTTATTTAGCTTCATATGACATTTTCTTCATTCTTTCATTTAACCCTTTGGTTTCCTTTTGCCTCCTGCGACTAATACATAATTCTTTTTCAGTCAGCTCATACATTTTTGATTCATTCTTATAACTTCTATTCATGTAGGTGAACTTACAATTATTGGCTAGGTGTTATTTGACTAACAATCAAGCTTATAGTGCATATCATGTTTTAAGAGGTACTTGCTTCATCTCTCTCTGATTAGGCTCAATTATCTCTAGTTTTATATAGTTTTAGATGATCATTGTCTTTGTCTTCAGCATTTTCTGTCATTCTCATCAAGATTTTTAGATTGAAGCTAATTACATTCTGTTCCATTTATTGAAGGCTCAAAAATGGCTCAATCTCGCTACTTGTTTGCATTATCATGCTTTAAGATGAATCTTCTCAGTGAAGCCGAAGCTGTGCTCTTGCCCACTGAGGCTTGTGAAGAAGTATGTGATTACTTTATGTGCTATTCCAGTTACACTTGGTGCTTTTTGCAACTCTTTTTCCCTAGACTTTGCATGCCATATTCCTTTTGAAGTATCAGTCTGCCTCTGCCATAATGATGAAGAGTATTGTTTGGTTAATCTTTTCATTATACATTGAGTTTGATAAATCTTTAAATACTTTTTTTAATGAGATTGTATTCACTCTTATCGTTTCTTGCATGCAGGTCCCAAATGGTGCTGCAGGCCACTATCTTCTTGGACTTATATACAGGTAACATAAAAAGAAACTAGTGGATCCTATTCCTATTGATGCCGACTAAGTGTGCAAATTCAGATAAAAATTAATTGTTAAAGGAATCCGACTTTTGATATGAGAAGATAATCATGAAAAGATTAAGAAGAAAATGTCACTGACAGAAAGTGAAAATTATTTGTTTTAAAAATAAACTTCATCCTCAAACTCCTTTTTGTGGATAAAAAGGTTTATGCATTGGATTGGCTGCGGCATGCCTAAATTTGGGTAATCTACCATAAGCTTCCTTCGGAAGTTTGTGATCTTAATAATTTAAATATATGCTTAATTTGACCTTGGTTATTACTCTTTCTTGAGCCTGATTTGTTACTTCAAACAAAAATATATATTAAGCTTAATCTTGCTTTCTATGAATAGCATTAATTAGAACTATATTTATACCTATATTTGTGTTTTTAGCATTTTTGAATAGATGGTTGATAGTCTCCATCTCTCTCTCTCTCTCTCTCTCTCTTTCTCGCACGCGCGCGAGTGCGCATGCACATATCCCCTCTCATTGTTCAGTTGCAATTCCACTTGTACTTAATTTATCATTTTTATCCAGCATATTTAGGTTCCTTTTGATGCACAGAAATATTCTCTGTTTTCCGTTTCTTTTATATATATATATATATATGTTTACATTTCTTAACAATTTTGGAACTTGCACGTAAAAACAATATTTGGACAAATAAAATATGGCGTGAATTTGAAGATAATGAAAATTTGCCTTTAGAATTATCTAAAAAGCTACTTGTTTACGTTTAGGTAAACTAGATACATGTATAAATACATATCTAGAGATACAAGCCCAAGCGCACACTCAAATGCCCACGTAGGCACGTATACTCTTTTCTATTTATACACATTATATTCTGATATTGCATGCATGTATAGTATATCTTATGCATATAACCATATACATGTACATGTATAGCTAATATATACCTATGTATATATGTAATTTATATATAAAATACATGTATACTTATTTGAAATAAAAATAAGACAATATTTTCATGTACCAAATGCAGTCTTGGCTTCTCACGTGACTGCTACTATTTTAATTACATCCTTGCAGGTGCAATGACAGGAGGGAGAAGGCAGTTGAATATTTCAGGAAGGCATTGTCAATTGATCCATTATTTTGGGCAGCATACGAGGAACTTTGTATCTTAGGTCAGTAAAAACTACGTACATCCTCCCATTTTTTTAGTATAAAATACAAGGAAGTTCTTACTTTGATGTTATAAATTGCGATTACCATGATTTTCTTAGATTGTTTGTTGTACGAAGGAATTGCTATTTTTAGGTTCTTCTATAGAATTTAATAAACAAAGTAGCTCATGGCTTTTTTCTTTTCTGGTATTTAACCAAAAGCATTAGTAGTAGTAGCTAATTTTCCTCACCAAAATTCCATATTTAATCCTTAGAGTTCTTTGTTGGTGTCTGGTCTATGCTGCAAATGTGTACCCTGGATATTCTTCTTGTTCTTTTGCCTTTTTCTTGTTTTTTTCCTGTTTAATTTAATGCAACCCATGTCTTCTACCATTAATTAGATAGTTGAAAAGCTAATAACGTTTAGCATATTGGCAGATATCATATTAGTTATTTTTCTGGAATGAACTGTTGTACATTTGCTAGTATAGAGTGTTGTTAGTGAAGATGTTTGGATTAGCTGTTTTATCAGGTAATCATAGTTTTACTGGAATTTTCAGACAAGGTTATCGAAGTAGTTTATTCAGTTTAGTATTCTCTTCTTCTTTGTTTATCTAGCCTTAAATATGTATGTGACAGGTGCTGCTGAAGAAGCCAATATAATGTTTGGTGAAGAAGCAACTTGCCGTCTGCAAGAACTTTACCTAGTTCATGAATCAAGTCATTTGCAGACAGCTAGTGATGATCAGTTTTTGGATTTAGATGGTACTTTTCAGTTGGAAGGTATGAACTTAACGCGTATGAAACATGTGCAAGGGCATGACCTAAAAGACGCACATCAAAGTCATCATGAAGAAGCTGTTTTAGATGAATCTGTTACACCAGTTATAAGTGACTGTCCGTCAAATGTGCCATTTTGCCATACTCCATCCCCGGTACCTCCAGATGTAAGCAATATATTGGATTAGATTGTAGTATTATACATTTTTCCCAATCCCTGAAATATTATTCCTATTTCTTTCTGATTTGTGCAATCATTTGAATGTGCTAGCATTTTTTCGCACTTTAAGTTTTCTTTATTTCAAACCAAGTTCTATTTATTGTTATTATTTTCTTATTGAAGAATGAATATATTATTAAGAGAGAGATAAACAAAAAATGAGGATAAGATATAAAAAAGATATTATTAAAAGAGAAAGAGAGTCCAAAGGAGGATAAAATATCCTCCTACCAAATGAAAGAGAACAAGATAGAAAATAAAAAATGGGACAAATGGCAATACAAACTAGCCACCTCATTCCTTTGCACAATCCAAAGTTATTTATATTACTTGTAGTGTTACACTTGAAAAAATAACCTAACAGTTATCCTTTTCAAATCAGATAATTTTCAGAAGTAAAGATTTCTTTTCCAACAATTTTATAGGCTTCAAATTCAGGGCAATTTTCGTATGAGTCTAAGCTAAGTTTCTTTTCCTAGAAATTATCCAAACCTACATGTTTTAGTTAATCAAAAGTCATCTATACATGAAAATAAATAATCTGAACTATGCATATCTAAGCATGAAAATAAGTGACAATCTTGAATTTTCATTGCCTATGTTATGCATAAAGAAAATGAGGAACATGCATTTACCACAGTTATGGGTCCTGGTATTGTGCCTCCAACTAAGTCTACCAGAGGAGAAAGAAGAATTAAAAGCTTGCTTTACTAATGCTAAATGTTTAAGTATAATTTAAGTAATAACTGTTTAAATTATTTTGATTTATATGTCCCTTCTGTGATGTGGTACCTAGGCTGTAGTTTATTGAATGACACTACCACAAATATTATGACACCTGTTAATATCATCTAACAAGTTATGACAAGTTAAAGACTTGTTGTGTGTTTGAGTTTGTCTAGGTGCTTGTACTGGATAGAACAGTTTGTAGTCTTAAGGAATATGTTACCTGCAATCATAAATATATTTCTAAATAAAGAAGAATAATTATGCAAATAATTAATTCAAAAGTGTTTTTAGTATTTTCTCTTAAAGAGATTGTTGGGTCTTCTGCCGGATTGTGGATGTTGTGGTTGGAGCATAATACCAGAATTTTTAAGGACCGCTTTATGCCGCCTCAGTTTTGTGGTAGATATTGACTTTTTGGGCTTCTTTTTGGCAGTGGCTCATAATCCTTCAGAGATGTTTTGTTATCCATTTTTCAAAGGAATTGGGAGGGCATCTTGTTGTGATTTTCTTTTTTCTTTTTGTTTCCTTCACCTCTGCTTTTGTGGATATTTTCTGAGGATGCTTTATCTTCCTCTTCGTACCTCTTTTTTCTCTGCCATCTAATGATATTTCTTTTCATATAAAAAGTAGAGTCTGATTCTCTCTTAATGAGCCCGTAACCCGTGATCAAACTAGGAAATAGGAGAAGGTCTGCCAACTATTCTTTTATTATTTCTGATTTTAGTGTTAATACACCCGTAGCAAGATCACAGAGCAGGGATCTTACCTATCACCATTCACTTGTAAAATTGTAGCAATTATCATCATGTAGTTACAATTAAGATAATATACTTTCTCAAATAGAACCTTCCTTTAATGTTAATGTCGTTAACTTTAAATGACTAAGGACTTCTGGCACAAAATCTAATTTTATATCATTGAATTACATTTTTGCCCTTTACTAAACAGTTTCTAGCATGTGTCTGATGGATCAGATGGAGTTAGCTGGGATTAGATAGGGTTAGTGAAAGGAATGTACAGGGTTGAATAAAGGTTGGACAACTTTGAATTCTCTTGAATGGGGGTTGGATAGTAGAAATTGTGCGAAAACTTACATTTTTGTCCTTCATAATTTAGCATTAACAACATTTAATCTTAAAATGCAGTTCGATTTGAGAATTGGCATATTATGTGGAGTAATTGTTTCAGTTAGAACAATAGAGTTATAATTGCTACAGGACGGAAAATGTGGGTTTTCCAAGTAAATAAGATGTCATTTTCTAAATCATATCAGTTGGAAAGTCAAGGAGGTGACGAACAACATGATTTATATATACAGTTATGATTATAGTGTTTAGCTATAAATTCTTTGTAGTTATTTTAGAAGCTTCATAAGCAATGTTATCAATTTAAAGTTTTGTCTACCTCCTAGTGCTACAGTCATGAAGATGGACTAGTAACAGTTATTTTTCCCTTAAAGCTCAGGTTAATCAACTTTACTAGCATCAGAGAGATGAATCTGTCAGTAATTTTTCTGTGGTCTATGTTTCTCATAGTTCTTTCAATCGCTTAAACAGTTTGAGGTTCAATTAATTTTTTCAAGCAGAAACATGCCGTATTTTGCATTTTAGTTTTTTAGATATTATTTGGTAGTATAATTTCCTTTTCAGTTCTTTACAATTAATTACTTTATTAATAATAAATTTTTCAATAGAAATAGTTTAAACAAGAATTATCTAGCACATAAACTAAGCAGGTATTTATATTGTTCTCGTCAGTTTGTGTGTTCATGTGGGTAGGGAAAAGGATATGCCACAACTTTTTCCGTTCTCATGCACTGTTGAAATGCAAGTAATTCGTTTTTGAGAAGAAAAATATGCATTAATTGCATCTCTCTTCAAATAAGTGCAATTTACTCCCATGTTTGCATAGTGTTGTTGGCTAAATTTATCATTATTGGGAAAAGAATCTCCATGATTTTGCCATTGTTATCATTTCCTGATGGAGAGTGATACTTCTATATTCCACAGCTGTCAGGTATTGCTCCTCTGCCTTCCTGTAGAAATGTGCAACTCAAATCAAACATTCAAAGAGGTGAAGGCTCAGCAAAGTCTATAATTGATGTTTCTCAAAGAAAATTTATTGAAGATAAATCAATGAAGGTTGTGTATGCATTTTTAAATAGACAGATACTACCTTCTCATATTTTCTGTTTCTTGTTTCTTTAAGTTTAAATGATTTAAGTTGTGTATCAATCGTGATGTAGATTCTTACCGCCTTCTTTTGTGCTCCCTTTCTTGTTTCATTTAGTATGTTAACATTTGTTAAGTGCTTATATTCTTAGCAATGCTCAATAATTTTAAGGGAAGATAGGTGGTCCTAAGTGGTAACTTATAGTTCATAGTAGATAACTGTTGATAAGGATTGTATGTTAAGTATAGTATTAGGCTATAATTAGAGTTCTAATAGTAAAAATATATCATATAATTAAAATTTTCTTAGATATATATAAAGTAATTTTTCTTATAATAAGAAAAATTACTTTATATATATCTCTTAAATGTGAACACAAAGTATATAAGAAATAAAATTAGAAATTTATTTTCTTCAAAATCTTCATGGTATCAGAGTTAAAGTAAAACTATTTTAAAATTTTGTAAAAACCTTAAAATAAGCAAAATAGACCAAATTGGTACTCAACTACCAAAAGAAACCAAACCCAGCATCACCCAGATGGAGTCGCCGCTCAACCCCAGCAAGAACAGCCACAGTTTCCGCGTGCGTCAGCCACATGCGCTGCCGCAGCAGAGGCGCGTGAGCCACACGCGCCACCGGCTTCAACCCATTCGGCCCGAAAAATGGTGGAATACTGCCAGAAAATCCCGATTGAGACAAATTTGGTTCCTTTCCGCACAAATCCGGCTTGACCGCGATTATCAGACCTTTTTTCATGTGGTTGTGTGCATTTGAAAGATCTGTCGTTCTGCGCCCTCCGTCGCTCCTATCCAGCCGATCCGCGTCTGGAGACGAGTCGACTGATCCTTCTGCACACCATGTTGCTTCGGTCGCGCGCTGAGTCGTGCTGCATTGACCGGACGGAGCCCCTCTGTGCCAGTCCACTTTTCCGCACACGGGGTGTCTGGTGTGGCTGCTGGGATGTGTGTGCTTTGTTCATGCTAGAAATGTGGATAAGTTAGAATCTAAGGCTCTTAAATATGTATTTGTTGAATATTCTTCTACTCAAAAAAGTTACAAATGTTATCATCCACCGTTTAGAAAATATTTTATAATTATGGATGCTACATTTAGGGAAACTGAGTCTTACTTCAACTCAAACCCAACACCTTTTCGGAGGGAGAGTGGGAAGGAAGAAGTGATATCTAATTGGGTAACCATTGAGAGTCATATTCAGGAGAAAAGTTCTATTGTAGAAGGTCTTAATCAAGAAGATAATGTTGGACGTCTGAATAAATCAGACTTGAAAAGGTATTCAAGTAGAGATAAGTCAGAAAAACTATTATGCAGTCTATCTCAAATCAAGAATCTTCTCTACTTACAGAAGATACTAATAAGTTATTTTTCTCTTATGATTTATCAGATAAACCTATTGGTATTAGAAAGGGAATGAGAACTTGTATTAAGCATCATATATCTAACTTTATTTCCTATGACTCTCTATCTCCGTCCTATAGAGATTTTGTTTTTTCTGTTTCCTTTGTATTTATTCCACAAGATTGGAAAAAGACTATAAGAGATCCCAAGTAGAAGGAAGTCATAATTGAAGAAATAAGAGCATTGACAAAAAATGAAACATGAAAACTTGTTTCACCTCCGTAGAAAAAGAAGATAGTTGGTTGCAAATGAGTGTTCACCGTAAAACATAAAGTAGACGGATCAATTGAAAAGTACAAAGTTAGATTGGTGGCTAAAGGATTTACTCAAACTTATGGAATTGACTATCAGGAAACCTTTACACTTGTTGCGAAAATGAATACAATTAGAATACTTTTGTCTTGCGTAGCTAATCTTGATTGAGATTTACAACACTCTGATGTAAAAAATGCATTCTTCCATGGAAACTTAGAGGAAGAGGTATACATGAAAATTTCAATTGGGTTTGAAGATAAGAGGACGCAAAGAAAAGTTCGCAAATTAAAAAGGGTCTTATACAGATTAAAGCAGTCTCCAAGAGTATGGTTTGAACAGTTTTGAAGAGTTATGATATCTTTTGCATATCAATAAAGCAATGCTGATCATACCCTGTTTATCAAATATCGTGAGAGTAAGGTCACTCTTTTCATTATTTATGTAGATGATATTGTGGTGAATAAAGA